CACTCGCAAGTCGTAGAGAAATGCTGGGTATAATATTTATCGTAAAATTAATGACAGGCTTGATTAATAGCCCGGCCCTCCTGGCTGAGGTAAATTTTAATGTTTCTTCTCGAATGTCAAGACACTTTCGACCTCTATTTTTAAAGCCATGCAAAACTAATTTTGAACTAAACGAATCATTCCGTGGTTTATGTCAAGATTTTAACTGTCATTCCAGCACGTTTGACGTATCGGACTCGATTTTTACTATAAAGAAAACTATTATTTCCACTCTCAATAATTGAAATACTATCTTTAGCATATCCAATCAGCTGATGAATTTGATTCTGTAGCTGAATAGTTTTAGATCTCGACACTTAACAAACTCCTGTTTCCACTACTCGGCACGAAAAAACTAATAAAAAAAAAAAAAAAAAAAAGGTTCCGTACGTCATGCGGACTGCGCCCCTCGTGTCGGTTGGGCGGGAATGGAGGGTAAAAAGCCGTTGGGATTAATTAATTATGTATTTTAACGGTAAAGTCGGCTATCAATCAATTTGTCTACCCCAGAAACCTATCCACGACGGGAAAAAATTCTGGCAAATCTGAGTCGGACATTCTGTACTGTACATTGTATAAAACCACAACTTTCTAAACTCAATAGAAAGCAACGTCGTATTTCTAATCGCCTATTGTCCTTTATCCGCTTCACACCTCTTTTCTAGTTTATTCCGTCAAAGCGGAGTTTGGGTCGGAGTTATCGAACATATCGTATGGGGATAAGGTACCAGTCTTGAGCACTTTTCCTCCAAAATCTGAACCATTACACCATTTTTATTTGAAGTAGCGTTTTATAAAAGTGTTATCAAGAAGTACATATCATAGGTTAACTCTTTAAACGCTAGTGTTACATATATGTAACGCTCGAATTTCGCGGACTAATATTGTTGTAAGGAAAATTTGTATTACCTAACAAAGATTCACGAGTGTTACATATATGTTTCAGGTCGTACATACATCCCTTGATGGAGGTCGAAACTTTTTATTATGGGTTTTTGTACATATCCTCTCTTTTATTATCCTCCAAAATTTGGTTCCTATAAATTTCCTCTTTTGCTTTCGCGTTTAATGAGTTAAGAAAAACTATTTGTAAAGTAAAAAAAAAATTTAATCGAATTGTATTTTTGTTTAATTACTCATTAATACTCATTCTATTATTACTATCTCGTGAGTAGTTTCGGCATCTTTAAAAACGACTACACCCAGAAAAAGGTTTAGTTATAATAACCAAGATTTGGTTATAGTGATCAAGTGGCATAGTTGGATATGGCGAAATAAATATATAGTTCACGAAAGTCTGCAATTTACTTAAGACTTCTAGTTGGGACAAATGTATATTTGTTAATAATTACAAAACGACTACCTTGATTGGACAATATTGTTAGTTGAATAAAATCATTGCTGAGCAAATATAAACAATGCTTTGGTTGATACAAGTTTTCAATTAATTTTGTGAACTTGCTGTAGACTTGAATCAGCTAACCGTTTATTATTAGGAAAAAAGTTTAAGTTTGACACAAATAAAAATTTACTCGATGTTTGTTGTGTTTACTTTCTTCTTTTATTTGCATATATTAAGCATAAAAATACGTACATATTTACATAAGTTAGTTACTAAAGTAAATAATACATGTGTATATGGTGTTAAGAATTTCTTAAAAAACAACGATGAAACAGGAACAGTCGTGCGAAAACCCAGGTCAATATCTGCTGGAAGTATACTGCTTTGCTTTTTCCTTAGCTAAATAGACACTTTCAAAATATAATTCACGTGAATTATATATCCACTGAAAAACCCCGGTTGGCATCAAACTTTATATTTTTAATTAAACTTTAAACTATGCGCGCACCGAAACAACTCGCGATGATAGCAAAACTGAAACTGAGACAAACAAGTATGGGCATGTCATAGCACACATGGCGCAGCGATCGACATGCCATAGCTTACTGAGCGCTCTGGGACCACATGCGTGTTTCACCCATATACGAACAGCGGTAGCGGTGCAATGATTTCCACGCACAATGCAATGGTCGGCATACTAGCACATTCAAACGATTCAATAAGTGGGACTGTGTGCATTGCTCAGCTGGCGCTCTTCGTATGTGCTCAGAGAGCGCTCAGCATTATTTAGGGGTGGCTCACAAGCATGAATATGTTCCACTCTCAAACCAAATCGTCGTTGCCTCAACTAAGATTTGGTAACTATGACTAAACCACGTGTTGAAAGAAAGCTTATCTGCATTAGCAGAGCTTAATAACATCCTTTTATGAACCATACGTTAAGTTGAATGGAATTTGTAGAAATATGCTTCAAAGAAATATTTATTAGTATTAACCAAACCCTTCAACTAAATTAACGATTTGTTACAACCTAGATGAATATTAGAAGCTTTAATATATTTAGTTATAATTACAAATCGATGGTAATAGTTCCCAATCCTTGGTAACAGTTCCCAAATATTGTCAAAATTCGGGAACTAAATATCTTTAGTTGTCGAAACTAATCCTTTTTCTCAGTGTACCCAAGACTATAGTACTTGCCCTTTAAATTTCAATAACCGATAATTTGGCGCTTCAATCAATATTTACAATATACAAATGTTCATATCTACGCATTTCAGATTTATATAATTATCAGTTATATTTGTCAGTGTAATGCGATAAGCGCACAAGCAAATATAACTGACTGATGAGCAATGGGCATGCACTGAATATCTACAATAACTTAAATTAGTTTTGTGAACCAAACGATTGACTTGCGCCGGCAATTATCTCTTCAAATGCTCTGTTTTCCTCTTATCTAGGGTTGCCAGACGTACTGTTTTTGGGAGTAAACGTACTCCTTTTTATTGCAATGTACTACCTTGTACTCCACAAAAAAAAAAAATCTGGAAATGGTACTCCTTTCTCCGTTTCAGAATCTGGCAACCCTACTCTTATCGTTAATGTTCAATTTTTTTTTTTGTAACTTTGTTAGATAATCATTGTTGGTGTAGAACCTTCGGAAATTCGCTTAATTGCCCAATTATAGCTTCAATATTGACATAGTAGTTGACTGTGATTTTGAGTGATGATTAAATGATAATCAGTTGGTATAATTTAGGGTGGATAGCGCAATTAATAAAATGTGGCATTTGAAAGAAGTCAATATTGGCGCGGAAGAATCAAAGGTATTCGAATTTCGGCTCGGAATGGGCTCGTTTGACGAATTTTTCGTGTTTAAGGTTTTATGGCGGCTTGTTCAAAAACGATTATCGACTCACCGGCAGCAGTCGAATATTCAGTAGATAAGACTTAAATCAATAGGGTGGGCATACACAAGCAACTTTCGTTACAATTGACATACTACATACATACACACACATAGATCCTCCGCATTATTTAGTCTTATATAAATATTATTGTTTCTTATCACCACTGCATCTGATTTCATTTAAATTATCAAATTAAT